GCAACATGTGAATCACATGGATGAACTCGAGATGACAAGCCCTCTCTGCTAGCAAGTATACCCGCTGGGAGTGAGGGCATGAGCAATGGAGTCGCGTCTTGCTGCCTTGGTGACAACCGCTGATACATTTGCTTATATCTATTTCAGTCATGCCGCTTCATGCGGAGACTCTGTTTTGGCATATCGGCTTGCAAAGCCACCACAGCGCTGGCAACCACCTTGTGGACCTGCCTCGCCCCGCCCACTGAGCAGCGCCAGCTCTGCAGCACCAGCCCACCCCCCTCAAAGCCACGGAACCGAAGCCTTTTGCTTCAGCCACTGCTGCATTGGCGGCTCATCTTTGGTCGTTGTCAATGTTGTCTTCGATGTCTTCGTTTGCAATCAATGAAAGATTTATGACAACAAATATATACACTCAAACACACACAGACACACACACACACGCATTGGCTTCTTCTTCTTCTTCGCTCTTTTTTTATGTCACATCATTATTTTTATTATGACGCTGCCGGCGGCGTCGGCCCGTTATTCGAGAGTGATTAGTGACTAAAAATGACAACAATAATAATTGCATTGGCTCTGCGTGTATGTGTGTGTGTGCGTGTGCGTGTATGTGTGTGTGTGTGCGTGTCGGCCACATGAATGATGTCCCATCCATGTTATTCGATATGATTCACAAATAAGTACAAATATTTGCTATCGCAGAGCGCTGTGCAGCTGAAAGCAGCTTTCCAGGAAAAACTGATTGGTTTATGCCACATGCCGTCGCTAGATGGCGCCAAATTGTCCGCCAGCAACGGCTACAGAGCCGAACAGCGCATTTCAGAGCACAATGCAGCACATTTTTCAGCTTTAGCTTAAACAAATCCATGTGGAAATTTGAAATCAATACAGAGTTAGGGCACAATTAAATAAGGGAATCAAATGATTCTTTTCTAATTGACCGAGCGACTGAGGTGCATATGGAAGTGTGAGAGCGAGTGGGAATGTGAGAGAGAGAGAGAGAGAGAGAGGTGTGTGAGAGAAAGAGAGGTAGAGTGAGAGAAAGAGATAGAGAGAGAGAGAGAAAGAAAGGAGAGACAGACTTAGTAAGACAGCCATTTGGGTCAATGGAGCAGGGTCGTTATGAGTATCAGTGGATTAAGAAAAGACGGCCAGAACCTGTTGAAGATGACTAAAAGTTAAAAGCAGTTTTTCATCCTGATTTAAGAAGTATATTTATAATTACAAAAACAATATTAAACAAGAAATAAATGAGAAATAAGCCAAGCTCTCGAATGACTCGCTTCCATATGTTGACTCTCTGGCTTTGCTCGATGCAGCTGATCGGCGTGGTTCAAGTTTGGCTCAGTTTTCATGCATTCGGCTCGGTTCGGTTCCTTGGCTTTTGGCAAATTTGTAAGTTAGTTCCGTTCGACTTGGACATGCAACAGCAGTTGTAGTACGCTGTGTGTGTGTATGTGTGTGTGCGTGTGTGTTTGTGTGTGTATTGTCTCTATTATCTGATGTCTTCTGTCTGCTGTTTTGCTGTCTGCTGCTGCTGCCGCTGCTAGCTCACATTTTGACACTAACTGCATTTTGTAGACTTTTAGCCACGCCCCCAACAAACAGCTCTGCCGCCCAACTGTCCGTCTGTCCGCCCAGCGTCCCATTTGCAAGCTGTAAGTGAAATCTTTCAGTGCGTGTAAAATGCCGTTGCTCGGTTTTTGGGTGCCACGCCCACACACTTGCAACACCAACACCAACAACAACAACAAGAAGAAGCAACGAGTTGGACAACAATGAAATGCTTTTAGCATCGAGCTGCGAGCAGCGCCAAGCGAAATTAAGTTAACAACACACAGAGAAAGAACAAGAGAGAGAGAGAGAGAGAGAGAGACAAAGGGAGAGGGAGAGTGGGAGCGATAGAGAAAAAAGTTTTGTTCACTGTTTTTATTGAAAATTGAGTTAAAAAACAGAAAGTGTCGACGTCGGCGACTCGTTTGCTGCGTGTTGTATTTTATTTTAACATGCTGCTGCTTCTTCCAATTGTTACACACACTCACATACATAGATGACTGCATGCACTCACATAAATTGTTGTTGCATAGTTTACTTTTGGTCTATGCCCAAATCAAACACAATCATCAAAAAAAAGTCTTAAAGTAAAAATATTTTTAATTTTTTTTTTTTTTTTAATCAAGTGTAATTTATAAACGCTTGGCTAGCAATATTTTTTTGAGTTCTTTTCTAAATATTGACATTTTTTTTCCAAGTGTATTCTTAAGAAAAAAATTCTAATGAATTCTGAGCACTTGAAACAAGAGAAAACGAGTTGACTGTTCAAGCTAAGGTTTTTTTTTTTTTTCAGCAAATACTGCAACGTCTAGCAAATAGCTAATCAACTTTCCTTTTTTCTTTAAGTGTATACAGTGGAAGTCATATTTGCTTTAAGAAGTCAGCTTAGATGAGGACTCAGTTTATCAACTGTCTCTATTTCTCTGTTTTAAACGCTGATATAAATATCGATGAAGCAGGCTATGGCAATGACATATATGTATATGGATCTGACATATATATTATAAATTTCAGCTCCTGTTTGATGGCTTTCTCTTCATTTTCTCAAGTTATTAAATATTGTAAATTCAAATGAATGCGAGGCACAAGATTTGCTCAATTTGTTGATGGCCGGCTTCGCTGGCTGTCAGTTAACCAGACAAACTTGCGCTTAGGTGCTCCAAGGAATCTCAATAAAAGTTGTCGACAGGGCAATAACATCAACACAAACAGAGAGAAATGGAAACATAAAGAGCGAGAGGGAGAGAGAGAGAGAGAGAGAGAGAGAGAAAGGCAGGACAGAAGCTCTTTAGTGTTGCCAAATCAGCGCAGAGATCACACAGAGATAGCTGCGTGTGTGTCTGTGTGTGTGTATCTGTGTGTGTGTGTATGTGAGCATAAAATTTATAAATTATTGAATCTATGAAAATATGAACATCACGTACGCGACGCCGCACGCTTTAGCTGCTTTTTTTCCTCTGCTTCCTCTGTCTCTCTCTCACACACACACTCTCTTGTTAGGACGAACTATTCAGCAGCAGATACATACATCTACAGGCCATAGATACACGGATGCATAGATACAGATACAAGCAAGACAATCGCACAAAATGAACTTACAGTTATGCACAAAAAGCAAAGTATGTGTGTGTATGTGTGCGTACGTCAGAATATGCACAGAATTTCATTACGCTGCCTGCGTTCGTCGTTCGTTTTTATAAATAAATAAGTTGGCATCCCTGCCAACCAGCCAACCAGCCAGCCATCCAGACAACCAACCAGTGAGCCAGCTAGCTAGCCTGCCAGCCTGTTTATTTGTTTGTTCGTTTGTTTGTTGTTTGTTAAAGTTTGTTCATCTGTTTCGTCGCGTTCGACGTGCTCAACATTATTGGCGGCTTCGCTGGCTACACCAAGATACCGATTGAGGTATGGGGGTTGTAATAGACCCCCACCAGCACCGACCGAGCGCCCACCCACCACAGAAACTCCTATCTATCTGCCACCCGACACACCCCGCTCCAGCCCCGCCCCCATCTTAACCATAGTTTGAAAAGGCGTCTGCCAGCAATAACGGTGCCAACTAGAAAACTTTTCTAATAATTCGTTTGATGAATTTCTTTTCCACGACACCAAAAAACAAAAAAAGGAAAACGGGGCCAACGGAGAAGTCAGCAGTAAGCCAGATACGGGGAAAAAATAAGAGGAAGCGGGCGAGAAGTGGATATATATTCATTGCCTGGTCGCAGTTGGCGCAGCGCTCTTCGGGCAGACGCAACTGAACTATGATGGCAATGCATAAGAGCTTTTGGCAAATAAACAATAAACCAGCTGTCAGCCAGCTCTCGAAAATGTCGCAGCCCTCGCCTGATATTAAAAGGGGCAGGCAGGTGACTCCGACTAACTAATATGCAGATGAATGCGTGTAAATGCGGGATCTACTTTGGATTACTTTGAATGCATTCCTCAAGCATATTGAATCGCGCCTGTTGGATGAGTGATACACGCACTCACACACGCACGATAAGGCCCTGTTATAATGGACCCGAGGACATTCACATCACCTGAGATTGTCAACTATTTGTATGTGTGTTTCATCGATCTATTAGTGAACAGTCTATAGTCCAAAATCCATAGTCCATAGTCCACAGTCCACAGTCCAGTCTACAATCCATAGTCCATAGTCCACAGTCCACAGTCCAGTCTACAATCCATAGTCCATAGTCCACAGTCCACAGTCCAGTCTACAATCCATAGTCCATAGTCCACAGTCCACAGTCCAGTCTACAATCCATAGTCCATAGTCCACAGTCCACAGTCCAGTCTACAATCCATAGTCCATAGTCCACAGTCCACAGTCCAGTCTACAATCCATAGTCCATAGTCCACAGTCCACAGTCCAGTCTACAATCCATAGTCCATAGTCCACAGTCCACAGTCCAGTCTACAATCCATAGTCCATAGTCCACAGTCCACAGTCCATAGTCCATAGTCCACAGCCCACAATCCATAGTCGACAGTCCACAGCCCACAGTCCACAGCCCAATCCACAGTCTACAATCCATAGTCCACAGTCCATAGTCCATAGTCCACAATCCATAGTCCCTAGTCCATAGTCCACAGTCCACAATCCATAGTCGACAGTCCACAGTCCACAGTCCACAGCCCAGTCCACAGTCTACAATCCATAGCCCAGTCCACAGTCTACAATCCATAGTCCACAGTCCACAATTTACAATCCACAATCCATAGTCCACAGTCCACAAGCCACAGTCCACAAGCCATAGTCCACAGTCCACAGTCCATAGTCCATAGCCCACAGTCCACAGTCCATAGTCCACAATCCACAGTCCACAGTCCATATACTGCATAGTCCCCAGACCATAGACCATAGTCCACAGTCCATTGGAATAGCTAAAAGGAATATTTTCTGAACGATTGCCGTATAAATTTAAAAACAAATAAGATTTTTGGTGTTCAAAAAATCGAAGTGATTTATTTGAAACATTTTATTTTTGCATAACAGTTACTCCATTAAAACTGGACGCGAGCACACGTCCCCGGCATCAAGTAAAGGGGCGTGGTACCGTCCTGTAAAAGAAAGAACTTCGTTTAATATAATATAACCAAAAGAGAAGGCGTAAGTCAAAAGAGAAGGCGAAGTCTTGAGATAAAAATAATTATTTGTTTCGCACCTGAAAATCAACTCGAATTTTCGTTTTTTTATTTGAGAAGTTGAATCTTGATTATAGTTTGACTTTTGGACCGGCTAACGAAACTTTGATAGTTTCATATACATGTATTTTCCTAATTTGTCGTTTCTTATCCTTGTATTAGTTACTATAACTAAGAATCGGTTGTTGTGCGCCCTTGTGTATTGATTGGATCTCATTTAGATTCCTTACTTGACAATTTTTCGCTTACGACGCTAGCTGCAGCGCTCTGCTCATAGCGCGGTACCGTCCTGCGTAGTAACTTCACACCGATACATATAGATATATTTGTACAATATATCTAAATGGTATACTTACGATTTGAAGATGAAAATGAGAGAGCCAATCAAAACGTAACTAATGTCTAGATATTGAGTAGGTATGTCTCAAAGTTTGACACCTATTTTTACATCGTTTGAGTTTGATATTCAAGCGATTAATGAAACCTGCATACCACGCACAGTAGCTGTTGCTTGTTGCTAGAAGAATGCATATTAGAATCTTTAGATTAGGAACACTTTATAGGATCTCTTAGAAATACTTACATTATTTTTTTTATATGTATGTGCAATCTATATGGAGTGGCAAACGCGTTCTTATATCATGATATGATGATGTATGAGACTCGAAGATATTTGTATACATATATATATGCATATATGGTTGGATGTACATACAGATATATGGAGTGCAGGTAACTAACTATCTTTGTTCATGTCTATGTAATTGTGTATGTAACATATATATTTATAAATATATATATTACTATATGTATATATGAAATTGTATATGTATTTTGAATTCTTGTTGCAGTGGTGTTTGTTTTATTCCGTTGCGTTTATGTTCATAGTTTGCGCTAACATCCGCCAGATACGCCAGAGAGAAAGCGCTCGCCCCACACTTGGAAGGTCATTTTACATTGCTATGCATCATTGAATGATGGGTGTTGTTTTGGTTCGTATCTAAATCGAAAATCGAAATCTGAATTAGTCAAATTTAATTCCAAGGGCTACAAACTACGTATCGCACCTTCGTAAAATTGACCTTGAAAGCCGGTTCTTCATTCTGGGGATGCATTTGGATATATGTACAATATATAAGTTGACCGCAGGATCTAAAAATAAATTTTAAATTGAAACAAGTAAGAAAGCTTTAGTCGAGACTGCATAACATGATATATTGTCTGCAGTGGTGGCTTACTATGGGAACTTAATTGTTTAATAACTTTTCTTGTGGATGACTTGTAAATCGTGATCATAAAATTAAAGTGAGTGTATGTGCCCAAGCACAAGTCCCCAGTATTTGAAATACACCTTTTACAAATATGTGGATGAGGGGATGAATATGGGGGTGGAGGGTAAATTTTGACAAAAATCGAACTTCCATAAAGTACATATAAATCTACATTTAAAATTTGACGACTCTAATTTTAAAGATGTAAAAGATATAAATTTATTACTGGATTTCGATAATGTTTTAAATCGATAACAAAATAACGGGTTATCGACTTTTGAAGCAAAACTCGATATGCGCGTGGACCAATGAACAAATTTGAAGTTTCTAGCTTTTATATCTTCTGAGATCGACGCGTTCAAACATACGGACAGACGAACAGACGGACGGACGGACAGGGCTAAATCGACTCAGCTCGTCGCCCTGATCAAGAACCCATTTTCTATGGGTTCAGGGTATAAAAACAAAAACAAAAACAAAAAACAAAAAACAAAAAAAAATTATATGTGTATATGTATGTATGTATATGATTATATGTATATATGTATGATTACCGGCTATATAACAAACAAGAAAAATTCATATATTTATATATAAGTATAAAAGTAAAAAAAAAAAAAAAAAAAAACACAGATATATCTAAAACAATTGTAAAAAAAAAAAATAAAAAACAAAAATATATATGTTTAACGAATCTGCAAAAAAAACTCGCATATGTGGAAAAGATATGTAGTCAAAAAATCAAACAAACAACAAAAAAATAATAATTTATATATGTATATAAATGTCAAAAAAAAAAAAAAAAAAAAAAAAAAACAAAAAACAATATACATGTAAAACAAAAGCAAAAAAAAAAAAAAAAAAAAAAAAACAAAACAAATATATATATATATATATATGTTTTTAACGTTTCTGTAAAAAAAAACTCGCATAGGAAATTAACAAAAAATTAAAATTAAAAAAAAAAAAAAAAAAAAAATAGTTCGTATATAAATGTCAAAAAAAATATATATAGCTAAAATAAATGTACACATATTTATGTGTAAAATAAATACTTACTTTTATGTGTACAATATAATCAATATAAATGGAAATTATGAACACAAATTTTGTAATTTTTGCCAACCGTTCGGCGAAGCATTTTGACCAAACTGAATTTACATTTTACTTCACCTTGCCAAAAGTGATAAAAAAAAATTGAGAAAAAAATGGACCGAAAAATAAAACATTTCTAAAATTCGATTTACACAAAAAAAATTTAGAATTTTAGGCAGTTTTGACCCGCTCCAGTTGAGCTGTGAATACTGACTGACGATATTGTGTGAGCTCGTCTAGGTCCCTAGCTCGGAGCTTGGCAAAAGCCTACTTGGATCATCAAAAAAATGTGAGCATGGGCACAGCCAACTTGGATGGGTGCAAAATTTGACTAAAGTGTCGACAGGCTACAGTAAAATAATCTGAGCTTGGGCACAGCCAACTCGATTGGGAACCAAGTTTGACTAAAGTCTCGACTGAAAATCGGGCGTTGAGCTGTTTATTTGTACTTCAGCTGATTAACGAGAACTATAATAAATATATTTAAATTATGCGCATTACTTGAGACGCACGGAGAGAGAGAAGGAGAGAGAGAGAGAGAGCAAGAGAGAGAAACCCAACTGTAGCCAAGGCAAACACGTTTGCATTTGGTCTTAGCCGCCGCCAGCCAGCTCCATCAAGGCAGGGACCACAGCTCGTATACGTAATCTATTTAATGCAACCAAGCAAGCGTGCGGGCTATGTGTGTGCGTATGTGTATGGGTGTGTGTGTGTGTGTGTGTGCGTGTGTAGCTGCTCACTTTGGCATTATCAACTCATAAATATTTATTGAATTTTAAGAAATTTTCAAAAATTGGTTACAGAAGTAGCCAAAGGTCCGAGGCCAGCCCAGACCAGACCAGCCCAATCTCTGGCTCTGGCTCTGGCTCTGGCTCTGGCTCTGGCTCTGACTTCAGCTACTGCGCTGCAAGGGCGGGCAGCATCGACGACTTGGCTATCAACAGATATCCGTCATCGATTCTTCTTAGCCGCCACCCCTGCCGCGCACATCCCCCTGCCGCGAGCATCCGCTGCGCTGTTCGCCTGTCGTTCCGTTTGCATTCTCTTATTTGGATTATAATTTTTTCCATTTCACATATGAATGCGTTTGCTGTCGCTCTCTCGTTCTCTGTCTCTCTCTCACTCTTATTCTATATCTGTTACTTGCTTTTTTTTTGCTCTTGTCCGTCCAGTTGCCAATTTCCATTTTCATTTTCATTGCGTCGCGCAGCGCAGTCCTCGGGGCACGCGTAACTCGAAGTAGCTTTCTCTCCGGGCTGCGCAAAAGATTAACAAAAATTGTTGCCAAAAGAAAAACCAGGCCAAAAACTGAAACAAGTTAAAGCAATAAAATATGGCAACAAGAGTTGAGCAGTTCCTACAAATATGTTTATGGAACATTGGCTAAACTATATTTTGTTATCTTTTGTTCTCAATTGTTTGTTGTTGTTGTTGCTCGACGATTATGTGGGAGGTGAGAGACGAAATAAATGAATAGTAATTCTAATGCCTTACTATGCGATTCTCATCAGTGATAGAGCACTTATGGTTATGTTTATAGAAATGTGTATAGGTATAAGTATATTGAATGTATAAGGACATAAGCAGAATATAAACATGGACTAATTTTATAGCCTTGCTATTCGATTCTCATCTGTTGATGTACCATTTTTACGTATATGTCCATGGATGTAGAAGTATATTTGTATGTAAATATGGAGCAAATAATATATTCATTTAAGTATTATGCCTGTTTGAAGTTATATAGGCTTTTACATTAGTAGGCTTTTCATTAGTAATCAAAATTAAAATTTATTTCTGCAATTATGTTTTACAACTCGATGGCCCACTCCTACCCTTCCGGATACCCCATTGGCTCATCCTCTTTAACCATTGGCCTTACAAAGCGAATGCGCTGATGTTTATTGATTCAAAAAACACACTAATATAGTGTACTTAACTAATTAATAGACAAGCCGACAAAGGAGCAATTGGCTGGGTTAACGGTTCTAGCACACATTGACTTTTAAGCCCGCCGCATGCCCCATTCCGCTTCGTTTCCTTCGGCCTGGTCGTGCAACAGCTTCTGTGGCAGCTGCAATTGAACACACTTTGCTGTTGTGTTTGTAATTATGAAATGAACTTTGACCCGGTGCGCGACCAATCTGTGGCTCTTCGCCACTTTAATCGCATTAAAATGCACGTAGCGCCAACAAACCCGCTCCTCCCCTCCCCCCGCTCGGGCTGAGCTCCTGTGGGGCCACGCCCCACACGCCCACAATATGCAAAATTAACTTGTTGATGTGACGAAACGAAATGGGCATGCGGCAGAGCACCGGGCAATGGGGAGCACCCATTTGATGGCAGTTTGAAAATCGTTACGTGTTCGAATCTTATTAGTGGTTTATAATTACAATTGTATACAGGCCAATTATGTTACGAGACAAAGCGAGGGAAGCACACAGGTATGTGAGTGTGTGGGGTGTGCGTGTGTGTGTGTGTGTATGAATATGTAGGTTTGGTTAATTAACCAACATCAGAGCTCGCCTTTGAGTGTGTGCCTGTGCGTGTATGTGTGCGTGTGTGTGTGCTTGAGTATCTCGATAATGATGTTCATTTCAAAAGCAAATCTCATATTGTATACACACGCACACACACACACACATGCAGCTGGAGAATTGTCTTTATGTAAATGGAAACAGCAATTTATGCATATGTATTTGTTGCATAACTTAGCGCATAGATAACACACACACACACACACACACACACACTTGGCGATTCCTTCACACCGCCAATTTGCGCAATGGGTGCAACGGCTGCAATGGGTGGCTCCAGCCAGCGCACCACTGGACGGACTACTATTACTATTTCAGAGTGTATTTGGTAATTGAATCCACGTCTGCAATCCGTGGTCTGTGGTCGATAATTTCATTTTAAGCCACATTGCGAATACAAATTAGAGGCGCCCAAACTTGTCAAGCGGCAGCGCTCATGATGCATCCAATGCCAATGTCCAGCCAGAGCCTAAGACAAAAGACCCTCCCAGATAGGCAGCCTCCGTGCTTACGTATTGACAGCTGGCGGACGTAGTAGCAGCAATTGCAATTATATTCAAACAATTGGATGGATTTGACGAGCTTTACTCATAGCTCGTCCGGCTGTGTGCTCCAGTGGAGATCTCTGGGACAAATGGCGTTACCTTTCGCTTGCCATTGAAAAGATATCGCCTTGAGGAATGTGACATGATGCATGGCAATTTTTACGTTTTAACTTATCTGCTATATAATTTTAAACTTTTAAAAAAAAAAAAAAATGCTTCGAATAATTTTTTACATTTTACTAAAAAAAAAAAATAAAAATAATAAAAAATTTTATTTTAAACTTACTTTTTCTTATTTAAAAAAATATTCTTCCTTTAATCAAAATTTGTATTTAGAAAATATGTCGATTCATTGTATTTTATTTAATATTTTTAATTGAAGATAAAAAAAAAATATTTTTCCACTAAAATTAAGAGAATTCAATAAGTCTCAACACAATTCCACTTAGACTTTATTAATCGTTTTCATCATATTCCCAGAGTTTCTAACTAACTATTAATAAATAAATCTTGTCTTTTCAGACAGTATTATCTTATCTTATCTTTTATTTAGCCAGAGCTTAACAACTTCACACCTAGGCATCCCCATCTATTTTAATCTGTTTCCTTATCTAATGCCGCTTTATCAACAGCTTTGTGGATCTAGACAGAATATGGTCGAACAGTTTTGGATCTTTGTTTGTGAATTAACAGACTTGCTGTAGAAGCTCTTATAACTGTTCTATGAGCTGCTATAAAACACCCTACCAGCCGCGCTGCTGTTAAGCACTGCGCCGACGTCAACCTCAAAGAGCGAATCACAGATGTGAAAGAGTCAAAGAGCGCGGCGCTGTTAAGTGGAATGTTAAGGAAATTCCTGTTAACGCCACAGGCAGATGAAGCTAATGAAATGCCAAAATTAAGTGATTGATGGCGAAGAGAGTTGCAGGCTCTTATACGTGTCATGGTGTGTGTCTTGGCTAAGTGGACACCTATGCGTGCATATATACTGTCCATAAGGGTTGGTCAACTCGGGGGTGGCAAGTATAAGGCAGAGCTACTGAAAAATCAGAAATCAGCTTGTAATCAGATGTAAACGGCACCTTTTATAGCAATCGTCAGACTGTTATACACCCAACTGATGAGCGCAAAGAGCGAGTGGCGCTCTCTTTCTGCTGCGGCTCTCGCGACTACTGTTAGCAGTTAACAGAGCGCGCTGTTAACGAACTATTACATAACTGTTATACCAGCTAACAGGCACCTGCCTCCAACATTTTTTGAGAGTGCGCGGCACACGCCACACCGTGGCATTCAGCAGTCCCATCAAGCAAAGAAATGCGGCGAGTTTTGATTGCGACACGAATGAAAATGTTATAAATCGATTAACACAGCCAACGTACGAGCATTGACAATTTACAAGCTGACTGTAAGCCTCATTGTAAGCCTCTATCATACGCATTGCAATTCAAAACTTGTTGAATACAAGGCAATCTACCTTTATAATATGTATGGGAGGCATGCTCAAGAGACCACCTGAAATTCCATTAGGAAATTCAATAGCCATCGACTGCTTCGAATGTTGACTTAATTAGTTTACGCTGCGATTTTTACCTGTTCGCCTGCTATCACATGCCACAAGTCCTTGAGCTTAGAAATTATATGAAACATTCATTATTATATGAGCACAATTGAAATATCTATGGATCGCAGGTAGTTGCTTAATTAATATTAACTCAAATCTTCATTGCAGCTCTCTTAGTATATAAGAGATAAATAGCCATTGAATTTGTTAAAGCTTCTTAATATATTTGGGCTGCCAAGCTCACTGTCCTAACCACGTATTGGAGGAGTGAGAATATGTACAGTTCCGATAAAATGAATTCATTAAATAATGACGCAACCTTCAAGAAGATTATTAATTAGTTGGCCTGCTAGACTACATAGAAAATATTTTACTTATTATTCAATTATTTTATATGAATATTTTGTTTTAGATTTATTTTATTTTACTTAATTTTTTTTTTTACTTTTTTTTATATATATTTTTTGTTTTGTTTCTTTTTTCAATAGATCTTATTTAAAATATATTTATAGATATATTTTTTATAATTTGTATAAATTTTTTGGATTTGCTTTATTTTCTGTAAATATGATTTTCACAAAAATTACTTTCCCG